TGAAGTTAAGTCCTTCACTGCGTGCACCTTTACAGCCTCTACCGGTTCCGGCTGAGTGCTGGGAATCCATCTCAATGGATTTCGTCTTTGGGTTACCCAAAGACGCACGCGGGAATACGGGTATTCTCGTATTTGTTGACAGATTCAGCAAAATGGTACACCTTGTGGCTGTACCAGAGACAATCACGGCAAGTGGCTGTGCTTGTGTCTTTATTGACACCATCTTCCGACTTCATGGGTTGCCCCGTGAACTCGTATCAGACAGAGATCCACGATTCACTGCTGATTTCTGGCGTTCCGTGTTCAAATCACTCGGAACGCGCTTGAAGATGTCAACATCTGATCATCCAGAGTCAGATGGTCAGACGGAACGTGCCAATCGTGTCCTTGAGGAGATACTTCGAGGATACGTACACTCCTTTAAGAGTTGGAGTGAGTTTTTGCCTATGGTAGAGTTTGCCATCAACAACTCGGTGCATGCGTCCACGACACATACACCGTTTTACGTGAATGGCTTGCGCCATCCGCGTGTACCCATCTTACTAGAGTGTACCTCTGGTTTAAGGGGGGGAGGGACTCGCGCGAGCAAAAACCGATTTGGTTCACGCTCATCACGCTCTGACGAAGAAGTCATTGCGTTTGATGCCGATATCGATAACATCGATATCGAAGAAGATGATGCCAGTGAGAGTGCGGAAGCCCTCACTGAAGAAGATGATCCCAGTGAGAGTGCGGAAGCCCTCACTGAAGAAAAGGTTGATGTTGCTGCAGTGCGCTCACAGCACACTGAAGCTAACGAGTCATCAGATGAGTTCATACTGGCTCGTGAAACAGTAGTCCGTTTTGTGCAAGACTCCATCGCCGAAGCGGTGGATAAGCAAAAGCAAAACGCTGACAAGAATGGAAGGGCAAACACTCTTTTATTTAGTAAAGGTGACTTAGTCCTACTGTCTACGGTTAATCTACCAAAGCATGTAGTGACTAACTTGGGTAGCAGTAAACTACTACCCAAGTACATTGGCCCATTTCGTGTATTGCACCGCCTAGGCAATGCATACACGATCGAGTTACCACGTAAGATGCGAACGCATCCCACGTTTTACGTTGGTCGGCTTAAGCCGTACCATCAGTACGCTGCTTCTTCCGATGAAGAACGCCCTTGCGCTCAAGCATCTCGCAAAGAGCCTTGTGCTCCCGATGGTGGGCATCAACAAGGGTCTGAAGAGCAGCTGTCTCAGCCCGAGACCGATCAACAATCCCACGAGCTACCCTTAGCTCGTCACGAAGAGATGTCAGAGATCTCTCGTTCTCGAGCTGAGCAAAGGCAAACTCAGCTCGATGCTTCGAGGCAGTGTCCGCCATTTGGAGACGCCTATTCCGCTCATGTTCGAGATCGTCGCGTAACCCTTGCGTTACGCGATCAAAGAAGCTCTCTAGGAACACACCGATCCACATGATCGTGTGGAGAGCGTCTTTCCTCCTCCTCCACCTCCATTAGAGGACTCTCGCGGTGGCCAGCGCTATCTAGTTGAGCAGCTGTTGAACCACCGCGACGTGAACGGACGTCGGACGAGTTATCTCGTCCGGTGGCGCGGCTATCCCCCGTCCTGGGATTCTTGGGAGCCCCGCTCCCAACTGATGATCGACGTACTGGGTCTGGTTGAGCAGTACGACGCGGCACATCCTGTGCCGCAGAAGGACCGCCGGAGAAAGTCTTCCCGGCACGGTCGTAAAGGGATTTCAGGTTGTCAATCCCTTCGTACATCTCAGTAGAGATACGTACGCGCCACCACGGGCTAGTAAGGAGGTAAGCCTCCTTAGGTGCTCGCGCAGAGTTGTTCACACAACATGGGCACGAGTCTCCCCAAGAAAGGCAGGGTAATCCTTTCTCCCTTGACAGACGATGCAGCTTGTAGCGTGCACCTGTCCGGGTTCGCTTTTCAAACTTATCACGAGCTTTGATAAGTTTGTCGTTCCAAACGTCACGACCTACATCCTCAAGGTTATGGATGTAGGCGTTCCACGCCTGAAGCAGTGAGGGACCATCACGTTTGTGGTTCCCACTGTACCATCGATGTCTAAAGAAAGCATCGATGAAGAAATCATGTTCAGTGCGATAGTTTTTCGCACTGGGGTGAAGGTGGTGGATCCTTGATGAATCGAACAATCGTGTTCGATAGCGATCACTCGACGTCGCGCACAAGTGATCCATGACAGATTAAGGAGGCATCCATGCCTTCTTCTCGGGAGCGAGACGCAAGACATTGCGATCCCGCTCATCCTGCGATGTGCCGACAGAAGGACTGGCACCTCGCTGTGAAGTGGTGTCCATAGGAGAACCGAAACCACTGTGAGCGCCCGACTCTCGCGACCTCGAGCGCCTTCGCTTCGGCGATGGTTCATATGATTCATCAGATGAACAAAAGATGCTGCGACGCAAAGCATCGTCCATGCCACGCTTGGCAGGCGGCTTAAATTCAATCGCCGTCGATACGGATCCGTCATCCGTATCAGGAGAGTACGAGACACCGAGCTCGTACTCTGTGAAGACACGAGTGTCTTCATGACCAGCGCCTGCGTCACCAAGTGACACAGGCTGAGTCGCTTCAGCAACCGATGGAACATCAGTTGCTGTTGTTTCTGCTTCGGCGTCCGCACAGAGACGTGCAGACGCGCTCTCGGCGGCCTTGCTCGCGCATCGCATGGGCTTGTTTACCATGCGATGAGATGTTGGAAAGTGGACGCGGACCAACAAGTGCAAACCCTGTCCCAAATGATTTGGGACGAGTATCCATTTAGTCAATCAGTCACTAAAGTGACTGATGGTTAAGGGGGGGGTGATGTAACGGGGTGAATCGTTACATAACAATTTATAAGAAATTGTTATTAGAATAAAACTAGAAGAGTTATATTCTCAGAATATTGTCATAAGGACAAATATTCTGTAGCACTTACAAGTAGTTCCTAATTGGTTGATATAGGCCATTATATCAACCAACGAAGACGCGCCACGACAGACGCACGCAATGAGTGGTGAGCAGATAACTGATTTACACATTTGTATTTAGACATAGTTAGATGAAGATAAATAGTGATTTATTGCAGACATTAACTATTATAAATACAGTTCTACTTTTTACTCTAACCGAGTACTCGCTTCTTCTTACCGTCTTCCTCTGCACGTACGAGTGTACGTGAAGTTACGAGGCACCGCCTTATTCTGTTATCAGAATAAGTAGCTTGTACTGTCACCAGTACAAGCTTCAGGGTGCCCTGTTACAGACGACCTACGAACCGCAGTATGTTGTGCTCGTGCTCGGCTTCGGCCTGAGGAGGATGTCTCAACCTCAGCCACGCTGCAAGCGATCACTGATGGAACTGTTGTACGCGGAGTCACGCATCTCCGGCAAATCGTCCGTGACTTCGCGGGCGCACGAATACCACGGCTTCGTATTCTGTTGATACAGGCAATAGAAGTTGATGAAAGTACGGATCGAGCGTGCTGAAAAGTGTTTACGTTCATCATCAGCGCAAAAGAGTCTACTTGCTTTTGTTCACGTGGTAGGTCACGGGGAATGCAAGACCTGGAGGGAATAGATCTGCGCTAGTGCGGCTAGATACCGAAATCGACGCATGTGAGGTTTGTAAGGCGTCGTAAAGCCGTGTCACCACAACTAACGACACGGCCGAATACGGGGACACCATCCACGACATTTGCCGAACGTCGGACCCTGTGCTATAAAGCCGCCCATAAAATCACGTGTGGTGCACTCCACTGCACGTGATTCCATGGGCAGCTTTATGATCATGCCAACAGCGACAACACTATCTACCCGACCAACTGAGGCCTCGGCAACTACAAAACATCGCTAGACGATATGCGGACGTCTCTGACGAACTGGGCTGGACACATCACAACCGGGAGCACAACAAGATGGTGCATTGAGCCGCCAACATCCAATACACTCGAGTCGTTTCGTATCGACGAGTGCCGCGGACGGCAGATCAATCCTTTCAGATCTCACACGTTTCCGCATCAACGACGTCCAGCAATGAACATGCACATATTAGGCGGCGCAACGAATTACCGCAGTGGACTGTGCCATGTTCGATGGAACGAGTTATCCGCGACAACTCGCATGGCAGTTGGTACAACCCTGACCAGCTGCTGTCACCCGCAGCTGTTGACCGCACCGGTTTTAAACCTCACCTGGCGTAAAAGGCAGCGCAGCACATTCGGCGATTCGAGATCTCCCGAAGCAGCTTGATGTACCTCACCATACAATACAAAACAAATCAAAACTAGACAAACAAAAACAAAGAACATAGCAACATGCGCTCGCTCGGTCTGTTTACTGCTGCTGCAAACGTTTGTATCTCTACAAACTACTGACACCGCGCATCTGTTGCCACACGCCATGATGACCACCCTCCCAAATGTGTAATCATCAGCTTCTGACAAACAGCTTGGCTGATGATTGCCGAAATACAGCACTCTACCCCGATTGGTGCTTCACCACGTGGTGAATGGAGCAAGTCGAATGAGCGTTGCGGAGAATGAACATCTACGCTTTGCCAGGACTCTGTATGTGCTACAGCTCGGACAGTTGGCTAAAAATGCATCAGAAGATGCTAGTCACGCCATATCTACCCCGCCCCGCTCTGAGCGATAATCTGTTGGCTGTCAACCTGCTCGAGCTGACAGTCGTTGCCTCTCCTTCCGAGCCATCTGGTGACCTTCTATCTGTGCTTTGTCCTGCATTTTTGGCAGTCGCCGCAACGATTGCGTATTGCGTGACCGCAACCTTCGTCTCTATCTCGACAATTCTCATCTGTAGTCTAGCCTTCATCGTTTGCAACGCTCTCTTCGTCACGAGAGAGGGTCGGCATCGAAACGTGGTCGGGTACACTCACAGCGCTCAGACCCTCACATGTGACCTCATTTTCCAACTTCGGTCGTACAACGTACCCAACCCAACACAGACACCTCCACAACCAAGATGAAACTCAGCAACATGATCGGTGTGCTAGGCGTGGCTGCTTTGGCATTCTCGAGCAACACTGTGGATGCGTCGACGGCAGCTGCGCAGACGTCGGGACACCTGCGCCATCGATACCACCGACATGATCACAGTCACAGATATGGCCGGCGGTCCGTCTACGATGACGACGACGACAGTGACAGCTCCGGCGATGGAAGGAGAGGTTATAGCAATCAGTATGGCCGCAGGAACGACGACATCGACAGTCGCGATGACTAAAACTCGGACGGCAACCGCAACCAGCGTGGATATGGAGGTGCAGCAGCGAAGCTGAACAACTACGGTTCACCTGCTAACAGCGGTGCGACTGCCAGTGCTGGTGCCAACGTCGGTAATGGTGGAGCTGGTGTACCTGCCACTGCGGCAGCCACTGCAGGCACCCGTTCGAACGCAGGTCCCGGTGTAAACCGAGGAGTTGGAGCGAATGCGGAGGCAAGCAGCAACGCTGCCAACGGGTACAGTACCGGCGGAGCTGTTCCGAAAGACGTGTACGCCCAGTAGACTCTGCAGACGACCGTGCAGACCGGTGGCCTCCATCGCTTGCTCGCGTAAACGGTTCATAGTCCTTGCCTGAGAGTTATAAGCACAAGCTTGTGGTTCGCATTTTACCATGGACAGCTCACGGGACGCTTGAAGCAGCTGAGATCACCTTAGCACGGCCCAAGACAAATACTGCCTCGAGTCTGACAGACGTGGTGTGCTTTTGATTGGGGTACCGTCGTAGTTTTACATGTAGTTTTGATGAGTGTAAATGGATGTCAGTGCACACAAACTCGATATGATCATTTCCTGACTTGTTGTTCCTGTTTTCATCGCGTCGGTAGCTGTGTGCAAGGTCTATTTAGCTGCTCTCTATGACACCATAACAAGTGTGCGCGTGTGGAGGGGCAAACAAACGCAGCGCAAGATTTCCACTTGACAACACATTGGAAACGGATAGAAAGCGGAGACGTAAGACTGATTGAATTGTGCGAGGACTTACAGCGCCAGTTGCTGCGATGCGAGATGACATCTCATGTGGTGGTGGATGTGTCGTCACTAGGCCTCCAAGCATCAAAGCAACATGCGGCGATCTTGAGCTTGTCCAACGTATCAAACGTTCGATGCTGTGTCGAGGTGCAAGTGCATAGTGGAGCTCACAACACGGTGAAAGTACTCGCACATGACGCTTCAATGAGTCACATCAGACCCCATTACGCCGCCACATTCGTGTGTTGCGAGAGCCGTGCTCGGTTCGTATTGTTGCTGAAGTCTTAGGTAAGCAAGTTGGAAGCCATGCAATGTAACGGGGTGAATCGTTACATAACAATTTATAAGAAATTGTTAATAGAGTATAACTATAAGAGTTATATTCTCAGAATATTGTCATAAGGACAAATATTCTGTAGCACTTACGAGTAGTTCCTAATTGGTTGATATAGGCCATTATATCAACCAACGAAGACGCGCCACGACAGACGCACGCAATGAGTAGTGAGCAGATAGTTGATATGCACATTTGTATTTAGACATAGTTAGATGAAGATAAATAGTGATGTATTGCAGACATTAACTATTATAAATACAGTTCTACTTTTTACTCTAACCAAGTACTCGCTTCTTCTTACCGTCTTCCTCTGCACGTACGAGTGTACGTGAAGTTACGAGGCACCGCCTTATTCTGTCATCAGAATAAGTAGCTTGTACTGTCACCAGTACAAGCTTCAGGGTGCCCCGTTACACCTGGTAGCACTTCGTAGTCCGTCCAAGGACCGCGTTCACATCTAACATGAATATGTTGGATGATGAAGATGACCAAAGCTTTCACGCTACGCGTGACGGCTACTCCCATTTGAGCGATGTCGAATGGGATGCGGTTGAACGAATGGGTTCGACCATGGGCATCCATGCTGTTAGCGTCATGCTAGAGGCTCTCAATAGAGATGCCCAACATGCTACTATCGCCAAGTTCATTCAAAATGAACTTGACGCTGAACGTGAGAAAGTAGCCTTGCTTCACCAACAAGGTTCTCAACAAGCAGAGTTGTTGAGAGAACAAGGTGCTCAACAGTTTGAACTGTTGAGACAGCAGCAGGCTGCTGCTGGTGGGTCGATGCACTCGCGTCGACCCGAGACTTTGAAGATTGACATCTCCAAGTATAGGGGGGTCGAAGAAGACTCCCTCTTGAGATGGTTCGTCGAATTGGATGACGCCATAAGGGCGCGTCGCATCGACGACGGGGATATGCAAGTTGCATTTGCCCAGTCAAATCTGGCAGGACGTGCCAAGACTTGGGCACTGGGGCTCAAGTTGCACGACCCATATGCGTTTGGGTCGTTGGAAGTCTTCAAGTCGCGGCTAAGACAAACGTTTGAACCGCCTAGAGCTGAGTTCAGGACTCGAACCGAACTCTTGAAGCTCAAGCAGGGTAAGCGTGATGTGCACGCTTACGCTCAACATATACGACATCTCACGAGTTGTATAAGTTCCAATCCGGTGGATGAACACACGTTGGTTTCGGTGTTCATGCAGGGTCTTGCGGATGGTCCCGTCAAGACTCACCTGTTCCGGCTTGAACTAGATTCACTAGAACAAGCCATTTCCATTGCGGAGCAGGAAGACTTCAGTCTGAGACAGGCTCGCGCCAGCTCAACATCATATCGTCAACCGAGACGATATGACACCGGAGGTCCAGAGCCGATGGAACTCTGTTATGTAGAGAGCGAGAAGGCTCGCTCTACAGGCTACAAGAAGTTACAGAGATGCAACAGATGTTAAAAGACAGGACACTACGCTTACGAGTGTAGTGCCCCTCGTCCAGTGTCTCGCGACACTGGGCGTAGTGACCGTCCACCCATGAGAAAGGGGCAGGGACGAGGGTCCGCAGTTGGTGCAAAGACGCAACAACGGGATGGACCGTCAAAAAAAACGGACAGGATCAGTAGGTGCGGAGCACCCTACTGGTCCAGCAACGTCAAGAGAATTTGTAGGCCTCTTGATGAAGGTTGCTCCCAACGCAAAAACGTTGTGCGTTGCTGCTCTAGGTAATGAGATCTCACTCATTACCTTGAAACTCGAAGTGACGAATAAGTTGTCCCTTCGAGCTCTAGTCGATTGTGGGGCGTCCAACAATTTTGTGCGACGCCAATCGCTAGAAGATGGTCACTTTAAATTCAGTGAATGTGACACACCTCCTACGAGGATGACGGTACGTCTTGCGACAGGCGCATCCGTAACCGTCATGAAGCGTATAGTGAAGATCCACTATACGCTAGAAGATACCCAATATGACGATGACTTCATCGTATTGGATTTGGATGACAAATTTGATGTCATCCTTGGAATACCGTGGCTCAGAAGGTACGAACCACGGGTAAACTGGCAACATCGGACAGTAACGATGCCTGCCGCTTGTTCATCAGATGGCCATCTGATGAACGTTTTGGAGCGTCCACAAGCGTGTGGATGTACTACGAGTGAGTGCGATGGCCTCACTTGTGGTACGGTCGTTAGTACGACTGCACAAAACCTTAGTGTACCAAACGGTTACACTTCGGAGCAAAGTTCCGGCGGCTGTGAGGAAACACAGGCTGCGCCGAAGGTCCACCACTCGAATAAGTCGGGTGGACTGGGACAAAGATGTATCCCTAGCGGGGAACATCTAGAAGAGAAACAATCGATCGCTCAGGTTAAGCGAAACGATAATCCTAGATCGACTGGAGAGTCTTTCGTAGAGGATCTCGCTGTGGTTGCGCAACCCCAGCTAGAGGAAGTAAAGGGAATAAGTCCCAAGATTACAAATACGGTGGAAATAAGTTCCCCGAAACCCGCGGGAATAAGTCCCCGGGAAGACGAAGGAATAAGTCCTTCGAAGCCTGAGGGAATAAGTCCCCAGGAAATGACAGAGACATTGAATGTCATAGTCAATAACGGATCAAGTGTAGGCGCTTATACACTTGATCTGATTGCGCCTCCGAAGTTAACTTCGGAGATCACTCAGTTGCCAACGCTCGAACATAAAAGGTTCTTGCGTGATCTGCGTAGTGGCAAAGTCAAGCAGATCTGCATACTCGTCGCTGACGACGAGTGTGTAGCCGACATAAGGTCAGCAACAGTGTTTACTGAGAACGAGAGAGTTATCAGTAGTTCATCGATGTACGAGAGTTTCCTGGATGAAAAGACACGAGTTGAGCGATATGACTCCCAATCGTGGGAATCGCTCAAGACAAATCCTCTCTATGAAGATTTGGTTGAATTCAAGGATGTATTCCCTGAAACTGTTCCGTGCGAATTACCGAAGGATAAAGGTATTCGACACGAGGTCGAGCTTTAACCAGGCTTGAAGTACTGTGTCATGAAGCAGTGGCCACTACCTCGTGAGCAAGTACTTGCGATCGACAAGTTCTTTGCCGATCGTTTAGCTGCGGGCCATGTGAGGGAATCAACTTCCCCACATAGCTCTCCGACCTTCTGTGTGCGAAAAGCAACAGGAGGGTGGCGGATAGTGCACGCGTTCAACAAATTGAACGCTGCAACGGTACCGGCTCAGACGCCGATACCGAGGAAGGACGTAATCATTGATGGTATGTCAAAGAGTACCATATTTTCGTCCATGGATTTGATGGATGGCTTCTATCAAATTCTTATGCGGGAACGGGATATACCCTATACCGCAGTTAGCACGCCTAGCGGCATGCTCTGGGAATGGCTAGTAATGCCACAAGGGCTCAGTAATGCCCCTGCCACGTTCAACAGATGTGTATCACATCTGTTGAGACCAGTACGAGAATTCGCGCCGAGTTATTTCGATGACGTATTCATCCATAGTCGAGCTATGGATGGAAAGTCGGACGTTGAGGTTCACAGGTACCACGTCCGACAAGTTCTTACAATCATGCGAAAGCATCAATTGTATGCAAACCTCAAGAAGTGTATATTTGCAGCAAGCGAAATACCACTTCTTGGGTGCATCGTTGGTAAGAACGGTGTACGTCCTGATCCCGAAAAGATCAAGGCGATCACCGACTGGCCCGTGCCGGTTGATGTCAAAGGTCTTCGAAAATTCCTTGGGCTAGCGGCTTATTTGCATAAGTATTCACGCAATTACGCCGAAATGACTGTGCACCTCTCTCGTTTGTTGAAAAAGAACGAGAGGTGGTTATGGAACGCTGAATGTCAACGCTCCTTTGAGGGTATCAAGCAGAGCTTGATACAATCCCCAGTCCTAGCAATAGCCGATCAGGACAGGCCATTTCATGTGGTCTGTGATGCCAGCGATTTCGCAATCGGCTGTGCATTAATGCAGTACGACCTTGAAGGCGTTGAACGCGTCGTCTGCTATCAGTCGCGTCAGCTGCAACCAGCTGAGCGGAACTATCCAGTGCATGACAAGGAACTCCTTGCCATGAAGTATGCACTCGCGAAGTTCAGAGTCTATCTATTAGGAGATAGACCCTTCGTTGTTTACACTGACCATGCGTCATTACGCACGGCAGTGAACAGCCCGCACCTTTCACAACGAATGGCGCGGTGGTTGTCATTCTTTGCGGAATACAACTTTACGGTCGAGTACAAACCAGGACGACTTAATGTCGTCGCTGATGCACTCTCACGTCGTCCCGACTTTGAAACAGTCGCGAAACCCAACAGTGAGACAGTCACTGTTGCGGTTATGACGTCCTCAGTCCCATCTACAACGTTGTATGATGATGTGAGGCGGGCATACGCCCAAGATGGTGAGATAGTGAAGTTGTTGACACATCTCTCCCAACCATCTCGAGAATCGTTGAAACGATTGTCGTCTGCGTATCGATCTGCATCAGATCGATACACTACTCGTAACGGTTTACTGTATTATACAGCCGTTTCTGGTGACACACCACGTGTTGTCATTCCAGATGATACTGATCTGCGTTTGCGGATCATGTTCGAGTATCACGATGCTCCTATAGGAGGACATCGTGGCCGAGAGAAAACATATCTCACGGTAAGTCGAGACTTTTACTGGCCCCGCCAGTATCAGTTTGTGCGAAAGTATGTTCGCGCATGCGAAGTCTGTCAACGAGTGAAGTTAAGTCCTTCACTGCGTGCACCTTTACAGCCTCTACCGGTTCCGGCTGAGTGCTGGGAATCCATCTCGATGGATTTCGTCTTTGGGTTACCCAAAGACGCACGCGGGAATACGGGTATTCTCGTATTTGTTGACAGATTCAGCAAAATGGTACACCTTGTGGCTGTACCAGAGACAATCACGGCAAGTGGCTGTGCTTGTGTCTTTATTGACACCATCTTCCGACTTCATGGGTTGCCCCGTGAACTCGTATCAGACAGAGATCCACGATTCACTGCTGATTTCTGGCGTTCCGTGTTCAAATCACTCGGAACGCGCTTGAAGATGTCAACATCTGATCATCCAGAGTCAGATGGTCAGACGGAACGTGCCAATCGTGTCCTTGAAGAGATACTTCGAGGATACGTACATTCCTTTAAGAGTTGGAGTGAGTTTTTGCCAATAATAGAGTTTGCCATCAACAACTCGGTGCATGCGTCCACGACACATACACCGTTTTACGTGAATGGCTTGCGCCATCCGCGTGTACCCATCTTACTAGAGTGTACCTCTGGTTTAAGGGGGGAGGGACTCGCGCGAGCAAAAACCGATTTAGTTCACGCTCATCACGCTCTGACGAAGAAGTCATTGCGTTTGATGCCGATATCGATAACATCGATATCGAAGAAGATGATGCCAGTGAGAGTGCGGAAGCCCTCACTGAAGAAGATGATCCCAGTGAGAGTGCGGAAGCCCTCACTGAAGAAAAGGTTGATGTTGCTGCAGTGCGCTCACAGCACACTGAAGCTAACGAGTCATCAGATGAGTTCATACTGGCTCGTGAAACGGTAGTCCGTTTTGTGCAAGACTCCATCGCCGAAGCGGTGGATAAGCAAAAGCAAAACGCTGACAAGAATGGAAGGGAAAACACTCTTTTATTTAATAAAGGTGACTTAGTCCTACTGTCTACGGTTAATCTACCAAAGCATGTAGTGACTAACTTGGGTAGCAGTAAACTACTACCCAAGTACATCGGCCCATTTCGTGTATTGCACCGCCTAGGCAATGCTTACACGATCGAGTTGCCACGTAAGATGCGAACGCATCCCACGTTTTACGTTGGTCGGCTTAAGCCGTACCATCAGTACGCTGCTTCTTCCGATGAAGAACGCCCTTGCGCTCAAGCATCTCGCAGAGAGCCTTGTGCTACCGATGGTGGGCATCAACAAGGGTCTGAAGAGCAGCTGTCTCATCCCGAGACCGATCAACAATCCCACGAGCTACCCTTAGCTCGTCACGAAGAGATGTCAGAGATCTCTCGTTCTCGAGCTGAGCAAAGGCAAACTCAGCTCGATGCTTCGAGGCAGTGCCCGCCATTTGGAGACGCCTATTCCGCTCATGTTCGAGATCGTCGCGTAACCCTTGCGTTACGCGATCAAAGAAGCTCTCGGGAACACACCGATCCACATGATCGTGTGGAGAGCGTCTTTCCTCCTCCTCCACCTCCATTAGAGGACTCTCGCGGTGGCCAGCGCTATCTAGTTGAGCAGCTGTTGAACCACCGCGACGTGAACGGACGTCGGACGAGTTATCTCGTCCGGTGGCGCGGCTATCCCCCGTCCTGGGATTCTTGGGAGCCCCGCTCCCAACTGATGATCAACGTACTGGGTTTGGTTGAGCAGTACGACGCGGCACATCCTGTGCCGCAGAAGGACCGCCGGAGAAAGTCTTCCCGGCACGGTCGTAAAGGGATTTCAGGTTGTCAATCCCTTCGTACATCTCAGTAGAGATACGTACGCGCCACCACGGGCTAGTAAGGAGGTAAGCCTCCTTAGGTGCTCGCGCAGAGTTGTTCACACAACATGGGCACGAGTCTCCCCAAGAAAGGCAGGGTAATCCTTTCTCCCTTGACAGACGATGCAGCTTGTAGCGTGCACCTGTCCTGGTTCGCTTTTCAAACTTATCACGAGCTTTGATAAGTTTGTCGTTCCAAACGTCACGACCTACATCCTCAAGGTTATGGATGTAGGCGTTCCACGCCTGAAGCAGTGAGGGACCATCACGTTTGTGATTCCCACTGTACCATCGATGTCTAAAGAAAGCATCGATGAAGAAATCATGTTCAGTGCGATGGTTTTTCGCACTGGGATGAAGGTGGTGGATCCTTGATGAATCGAACAATCGTGTTCGATAGCGATCACTCGACGTCGCGCACAAGTGATCCATGACAGATTAAGGAGGCATCCATGCCTTCTTCTCGGGAGCGAGACGCAAGACATTGCGATCCCGCTCATCCTGCGATGTGCCGACAGAAGGACTGGCACCTCGTTGCGAAGTGGTGTCCATAGGAGAACCGAAACCACTGTGAGCGCCCGACTCTCGCGACCTCGAGCGCCTTCGCTTCGGCGATGGTTCATATGATTCATCAGATGAACCAAAGATGCTGCGACGCATAGCATCATCCATGCCACGCTTGGCAGGCGGCTTAAATTCAATCGCCGTCGATACGGATCCGTCTTCCGTATCAGGAGAGTATGAGACACCGAGCTCGTACTCTGTGAAGACATGCGTGTCTTCATGACGAGCGCCTGCATCACCAGGTGACACAGGCTGAGTCGCTTCAGCAACCGATGAGACATCAGTTGCTGCGGTTTCTGCTTCGGCGTCCGCACAGAGACGTGCGGACGCGCTCTCGGCGGCCTTGCTCGCGCACCGCATGGGCTTGCTAACCATGCGATGAGATGTTGGAAAGTGGACTCGGACCAACAAGTGCAAACCCTTTCCCAGATGATTTGGGACGAGTATCCATTTAGTCAATCAGTCACTAAAGTGACTGATGGTTTAGGGGGGCGATGTAACGGGGTGAATCGTTACATAACAATTTATAAGAAATTGTTATTAGAATAAAACTAGAAGAGTTATATTCTCAGAATATTGTCATAAGGACAAATATTCTGTAGCACTTACGAGTAGTTCCTAATTGGTTGATATAGGCCATTATATCAACCAACGAAGACGCGCCACGACAGACGCACGCAATGAGTGGTGAGCAGATAGTTGATTTACACATTTGTATTTAGACATAGTTAGATGAAGATAAATAGTGATTTATTGCAGACATTAACTATTATAAATACAGTTCTACTTTTTACTCTAACCAAGTACTCGCTTCTTCTTACCGTCTTCCTCTGCACGTACGAGTGTACGTGAAGTTACGAGGCACCGCCTTATTCTGTCATCAGAATAAGTAGCTTGTACTGTCACCAGTACAAGCTTCAGGGTGCCCCGTTACATGCAAGCTAAGTCCTTTAAATAGTGTAGTAGACTGTGACGCCTGTGCTCGACGGCGCGCCCATTCATGCTGTCAATTTCGATGGCTTCGACACTTTCAGACCAAGCTGAGTACTTGGTAAGCTGTATGGATCAGTCATTTTACTTTCGTTACCTACCAACATGCAATGCACTGTGAAATGAGCTACGGCACATATTACATTTGTAGCGGAGCTACACAGCTCCTTAAGTCAGAGGAAGACTTAACGCTCAACGAGCAACTTAGTTCCAAAGAACTGACGACTTTACGAGTCAACAAGCTTTACAGCTTTAAATCTCTGTTCCAGGGGACCTAACGATTCAGCGAATCGACAGCACTCAGTGCTCAAGAGTAGCTACCTCAAAGAGGAGTTGCTAACTCTTAGTGATCAGTGATCGACGATCAAGACGGCTCGCAAGCCACGTGTCCTTTAGATCAAAATGGGAACTGATTTAATTTTTGTTAACGCTTTTTAGAATATCTTAATCCTACTCAAAGATCTTTCGTACCTAATGGCTGACATTCGTCAGCCCCTACAAACCAATAAGATATTCTATATCACCTTCACACAGGGGTAACCTCAGGTGTGTAACACCTTTAGTACAAAGTACCATAATTTCGTGCAACCCCGTTACACCCTCCCCCACCAGACTGACGTTTGTCAAAACGTCAATCGAACTTGTGTTCTCAGCGAGAACAGTGCGCATTCGGTGAACCTCACGGTAACGTACGCTCTAGCACGATGCCCTCATCACCAAACGAGTCAAACGCTCTGTAAAAATACCTCGAAATAGAGGAGGATGTGGACTGTGGTAGCGATACCAGTGTCCGAGGTGATACAGGGACAATTTCCGGCTCACTGAGGCCTGAGACACAACCATTGAACACTCCAAATCCGCTCGCTGAACGTGGAGGTGCGAGCGCGCCACCAGCGCAGCATGCAGCATCCGGGTCTGATGAAACTATCATCACGAACCCGCTCGATGAGCAACAACAACTGCTTGTTCAAAGAGAAGAAAACGCTCAACGTTATGTACAAATGGCTGCAACCCTTAAACGCCATCGTGACTATGAGTTCATCTCACCTAGTGTGGAGGAACGTCTACGTCAAGCGACCGGCCAAACATTGGCAACGTGGGTCATTAACCCTGGACCTAACACTCGTTAGAAGATGGTGAGATGCCAGGCACTTCGTGAGAGGTACCTGGAGCCGCACCTAACGACTCAAAGTCAATACAAGGCACGCCTTGACATGCAAGCACGTGGTGCACCGGTTCCACCGATCGAGGGTATACCCATTCTATTGCTCGCAGGCGAAACAGTGAGCGAAGAAGACGATGCCTTCGCTCACTGGGTGCACTATGTGCGTCGCCTCAGCAACATTTTTGCTCAAAGGGCTAGTGCCCATGCGGCGGATGTGCGTCTCGAACGCAATCTTCGGTATGATCATGCCAAGCTTAAGGCCAGAGGCCAATTGCGCAAGCGCACGCGCTATGCTTCGGCTACTAAGGTAGCCGCGAGTGCTGGTCAGCCTGTGGCCAAAAACCCGCTAACCCGCACCACTAGTGGTGGGGAACGGCCTCGGTCTCGAGATGACCATGGCCACGATGCTCAAAAGCCTCCAAAGCATATGGGCAGTCTTGCCAAAAGGGTTCATCAAATTCCCATGAGTTTTCAGACTCAGAATACCCACGCCACTTTACCAGGTACTGACTGATACTGGCCCTGACGACGACGTCGTTTCAGTAGTCTCTCGACATGAAATTGACGACACCCATGCTCATCGAGCAAAGTCGGTGGCGGCCGGTGTACCGGTGGAGGCCCACGAGAAATTGGTTCTCGAAGTGAAGGGTCTTCAAGAGGCCTTGGGTAAGTCCAGTGCATGCTGGGAGAAACGCAGAGCTGCCTTCAGGCGATGGAGCAAGCTCAAACTCGGAGCGAGGCTCAGTTGGAATTGCTGATTCGTCTACAGCAATCCGGGTACCGCCCTCGTCGTCGGCGCAAGCGCCTCCAAGTTCACATGGGAAGGATCCCGGTACGACTTAAGTAAGCCTACGTAGAACACTGGATGTGTGCGCAATTTGCGCGGGAGGTTTAGCGTATATGCAAGGCCCTTCTTGGCCGTGACCGTAAACGGTCCAATAAAGCGTGGACGCAACTTTGTCTTAAAGACAGCAGACACTACATTTGTTGGTAGGTTTTTAGCATTGAGTCGTACTTGGTCTCCGACCTCATAACGTTTAATACAATTTCCGCCTTTGGCATCAGCTTGTTGTTATTAGGTATCTTGGCTATCCGCCATAGCGTCACACACATGTCGCTAGACATTCAATCGCGTTGCGAGAAACTCGCCTACCTGTTTTTGAACAGTAGCAGGACTGATATCAGCAAGCCGATCTACAACCTCTCCCCCACCAAGCCGTGATTCACGTAGTGATAGCGCTAACGGAACGCGAGGGTGGGTAAGACCGGTTACGTAAGCGGAGTAAAGCCTGTGGAGGCATGGACAGCGTTGTTCAATGCAAATTCAACAACAGGGAGCATTGAGCTCCAACGCCGTGGCGTATCAGTGCAAACACTGCGCAAAAAGTCGTTAATGACGCGATCAACACGTTCAGTTTACCATCGGTCTGCGGATGATCCACCGTGTACATTTTAATCGGGTGCCGATCACCTTATAGAACAACTGCCAGGACTTCCTTCTAAAGCGGGGATCTCTATCAGAGACAATTGCCACATTCAAATCATGTTGTAGAAACACACGATCGATAAACTCTTTTGCTGTGCCTTCAGCATCGATCGCGTCCGGCACAGCCGCTAAGTGAGAAGGCTCAAACGGTCAACAAAGACCACAATACCGGTGTTGCCTTTCGAATCCTTCGGTAGTCCGAACACAAAATCCATACTCATGAATTCCCGACACTTAATGGGTACAGGCAAACTAGCCAGCGTCACAGCCGCATGTGCTGGGTTTAACTCTTTGAACGTTTTCGCACGTACGAACGTAGATGCTCACCAAATTGTACACCTTAGGCCACCAATAATTCTGGCTCGCTGAGCCATAGGTCTTTTCAAGACCGAGATGAACACTTGACGCGGTATCAATGTGCCTCAAAGAGGATTCGATATTTTATCTTCCAATCATGAGGGACAGCAACACGAGAGGTATCCTCAATATTCGTGCGATAGCTCAACAGGTCACTATCGTAGAATACCGATGTAGCCTTGCACGTAAACGTGCCGACAATCCTTTGTCCGAGACTTTAAACTCCTCGCTCCCAAGAGCCCGTAGCAAAGCTACACACTGATCATCCTTGGCATACGCTGCACGGATTAAGTCAAGGACTGATGACGACAGTGTCGTAACATGAGCAAGCTCATAGTCAGGTCGGCGCGATAGCGCATCAGCCAAAGCATTTTGCTCACCTGGCTTGTACTTCACCTCGAAGTTTTATTCGGCAACGAAGGAAAGCCAACGAGCCATTCTCGGAGAGAGATGTGGCGACTGTGTCGCAGTGCGTAATGACGCATGACCTCTATAGATCACATATGGCTTTGAGCCAAGCAGATGTACTCTGAATTTGACTGGAGCATATTTCTTAGCAAGAAAGTCTTTTTCAAGAACTGGGTAGTTCTTTTCAGCAGCTTTCAGCTGGCGAGAATCGAACGCAATGACGCGCTCGCGTCCATCAACATGTGTTTGTAACCGAGCACTGCCAATGGCAAAGTCAGATGCATCACATACGACACTAAAGGGCCGATCAGGATTGGGCAAAGACAATATTAACGCATAAAGAAGACTCTCCTTAACCGCTTTAATTGAGTTGTTCTCGGTATGACCCCAACACCAATCCACATCCTCTTTTCAGGAGATTGGATAATGGCCTAGCCATGTCTGCGTGATTTGCAATATACTTATGCAAGTTATTGGCAAGGCCAAGCCACTTAAATGAGTCCTTTTTATTCTGAGGAATTAACCAATCGACTATGGCCTTTACCTTAGCGAAGTCCGTTTGAAGGCCTCGCTTCCGAACAAAACACCCTAGAAAGGTAATGTCTTCTGCACTAAAGATACTCTTGGACGCATTAGCGTACAATTTACTCGTGAGCATGCACTCGAGCACCATTCGTAAATGATCAATGTGTTTATCCACATCTGATCGACCATTCATTGCACGACTAAGGACGAAGATGTCGTCAAAGTACGTCTGTGCGTGATCTCGATGAGGTCTGAGCATTTGCGTCCCCAGTCGGTGAAAATTAGCCGGGGCGTTAGATAGCCCTTGTGGCATAACGAGCCACTCCGAGAGCATGCCGCTCGGAGTACTCACCGCTGTTAGCGGAATATTGCTTGCTCGCATAAGCAGCTGGTAATAACCATAGACTAAGTCGAGTGCACTGTACAATCTACATCCTACCATATTGTTCTAAAGAACATCCTTTCTAGAAATAGGCGTCTCCGCCGGTATAGTTGCTGCTTTAAGCTTATTGTAAGCATGCACAATGCGCCACTTGCCATTTGGCTTCTTGACCCAAAATGTCGGTGTTGAATGGGGAGATTACTCTCACGCACCATTCTAGCCGCGTGCTTAGCACAAAATAACTCGTCAGTGACGTCACACTGTTCCTTAGGCAACGGCCACTGCCGTGTTACGCATTATTTAGTTCCTAAAACTTAGTCAATTTTATGACGTACACCTCTATCAGGTGGTAAGACAGATGGTGGGTTGTAACATACCACATCTTGAAATTCCTTAAACAGAGGATAGAACGGATCCAAAGAAACTTTAAGGATTGAAGATCCGCTTCGTGCACTAAGTGCCGCCTTTGTATCCTCCAGGACAGGCTCTCCCATTATCGAGGAAGAATTCGACTCAGCATCAGGTCTAATGACCGCTAACTCGGATAACTCTCCTGTCTTAAAAACCTGGCTAAACTCGCCATCAGACATTTTTTCTAGCTTACACAGAGCAACAAAAAAGGAAGGGTATAAAAGGCTAACGTTGCCATCAACCTGACCGGTCACTCCATTCACAAGCGTATATAGTGTATTACTATTATCACTCAGTGATGTGAACACGCCTGGCTCTTAACAGTTGCCACCTGACGTCCAAGTCGTCTCTTGGAGACCTTACACCCCATAGGGGTCGGGACACTACTTTCCCCTTTATAAATACTAACAGTAGTGCGCTCTACACGAGAGCCGATGTCTTGACCGACACTGGTGAAGTGTAACATAACTCGAACACTTTGCCTAGTGGATTTTCACGTACCACTCCACGTACAGTGTGCGTGCCGAGCCCCGAACTGAACGGCGTTTCGTCAACAATGTAATTACCGACATTACTTATGGTCCTCTCACGGCCACCCACACTCGGTGCATTTTCACTTGCTACCTCACACACATCAAAGGAATAACATCCTTGATAATCTGGCCCTAGGCCAACCATGCTATCAGCATGCATTGACTCGTTATCAAAACGAGTAACACTTAACGGAGTACGTGCCGTTTCACTATTTTTAGACGAGCTAAGCTCGGAACCTATGTTTACAACATTGTAGTTGGGCAACTCAGACATTCCAATGTCCAGAACATTGACATCTTCTGCCTAAAGCTCGCGCCAGTAGTGTTTCTCGTGCCTATCGAAGGATGGTTCATGTCTCTCCAAAACTTTACTAGAAACGTTGCGCGTGGCGCCTGATGTCTTGAATCTCCAATCAATGCATAGCTCATGGCGTTCAAGCCAAGCCATTCCAAGGATGAGATCATTTCTCGAGTCCAAAGTAAGGACAATACAGCGTTCATTGCTGTCAAAGTCTATCAACTGTATCTCTAAGTTCAACGGAACTTTAGGCACAGTAACACGACTTCCAGTCGCTAAACGAACCGCGAAAGAATCATCATCATGCGCTGTAAGCGCCTCAGCATATAGTTGACTTCCCTCAAGGGAACGACGTCGAGCATAATTGCAAGACGATCCAGAGTCGATCAACATCGACCAAGGCCTCTCAAATCCCTTGATTTTCGGCTCGGCGACTAACAAGCCATACTTGTGTTCACGCTCATTACAAATAGGTACGGAGCGCTTTGGGGTTAAGCCCTGCATTCCTTTACCTCCTAAATGTGTAACATAACCGGTTCTTCCCCAGTAGGGCGCCCACGCCTACTGGGTGTCGGCATTTCCCCGTGCCATGCCAGACTTCTGGCTCGGGGTGGATTGTTGGCTTGTAGCCTGACGCAGTTTACGCAAAGATAAACCAGGACGCAAGTGTTTAGTGCTTCCGCACGTAAAACATCATCTTACGACGCGTTGTTGCTCAGCAGCTTGAAGATCAACTTCACCTTTATCTTCAGCATAGCTGATATCCATTGGTTCCGGTCTGTTAAAGGCCGGACCACTTGTGGAATTTGCTCTCGCAGAGCTTGGGTTGTACGCATTCCAGCCAAGCCTGTCCGACTTGAAGTTATGCTCAGCATTTATAGCTATTCTCACAACCTCTTCGAACGTAGACGGGTGAACCCGAAAATCTTCGGTTCTGGCAATGCCAGTACGAAGAACTTCCATGAAGATAGTCACATGAACTGCATCAGACAGAGGGTCAGACTGCATTGCAGCCATGCGAGTTTTCTACTCTTGGACATAGCCCGATAACTCATTCTTACCCTGAAGAGTAAACAAAAAGCGTGAACTCACGCGGTAAGCTTGGTTAGGTGGT